TGACTTACTAAAGGTGAATATAATGTTTTGTTGACGTTTTATTTTTACTGTCCTGTACTATTAATTATTAACAACATGCTATAGATGATGCTGTCGTTTACACGATAGAGTTTAATCAAATTTAATGTGTATATATTAGGCCTATATAGGCCTTAAGGGATATTGTAATTGTAATGTTTTTGAAAACAAAAAAAATAATAATTTTATTTTGATTAAAAAAGAAGGAACTGCTAGTCTGTCATTAGCTACATATATGTATATTACTCCTATTTTAATACAATAATAAAGGGATGTAATACATTTGAAAGCGGTTTCTATAATATGCGCTCTATATACTGTATACGTTTACCATTATTATTGTTTTTAAAGATTTTGTTTTGTTATATCTTTCAGCAAGAGTGAAACTCCGAGAAATGTTAGTACAAGTCACAGTGATTTAATATTTCAAACTAGATTTGTTCAACGGCATAATTCATACTAATTTAGCTTGGTACCATCGGACAAGAAAAGGCATGGTTATGGACAGTTGCTGCTGCAATATCACAAAGAATGCTGGTTTAAGAACACCTGTAACACAAATGGTTATTGAATATTGTTTTATATAATAAACTCTTGTAATAGGACTACACTACGAAAAAAATGCTTATTTAAACCGGACTGTAAAAACAAAGAACTGTATAATAGACTTTAATTTGAGGTACAGTATGTTTAGCAGTAAGACATTAGCAAAACGATAATATATGAAGGGGTATGCTAGTAAATGAGACCCTAGGGAAGTAATGTCCCTACCGTATGATGTTTGTTTGTACAGTATTTTGTAAGTCTGCAGAAGTTGATTAAAGCCATTGTTACCAATTGGAACTGGGACCATTGCAAACCAATTGGAATTGGGGCCAGTTAAAGTTGAAGACCAGTTGAATTGTCCAAAAACACACAACACCCACATTTTTTTTTATAGAATACACAGATCTTCTATATAAAATCGTTCAATTTATATATACTTTCTATACAATTTTTAATAGCGTTCTAATAGATTTCTAATATAGTTTTAATAGATTTTTAATAGACTTTCTATAGTGGGCTTTTATAGTTATTTCTATAGAATTTTCTATAGTTATCTCTAAAGAATTTTCTATAGATTTTCTAAACAATTATGCTATAGACATTCTATAGTTTTGTTTTTTTTAATAGAATTCTATAGACTTTTTTGTATGGGTAGCACCCTTGTAATGCCTACTGGTATCAATGCTCGGATACAGTAGTTTAAAATGGTTTCATTGGTGGCAGAGGTGGAATTTAGAAAATTGCCTTGTTGCATTACTCTTATTTTTTGTATGATGATTACCTACCTTTCTTATTTTTTATCCACACAAAAACACAACATGCAAATGAACTGAAAATTATTAAATGAAATTAATCAAAATCTTCGTTCTGAAGTTTAAATCATGGAGTCTATTTAAATATTGGGCATGACAATATTGCGTGGAAAAAAACCCAATAATTAGCAAATCACGCACGTTTGATGTGGACGGTTTGACAGGGCATATGTCTGCTATCAATATCCCGGCCTATAATTAAGCCAGAGACTTAACCATGAGTTAAGCCTAATGTAACTACACGACAGAAACAGAATGCCATTTCAGGAAGTGAAATGGCATTCTGACTTTTCGACGTAGGGCCTATGCCAGCGTATGGCTTGTACGTTCCGCATTCGAGGGCCATAAGTTGTAGGTAGGTTAAGCGAACGTTGACACACGCTGACACACGTTACTTGTAAGTTACTCAAAGGTCAAAACTTATTTGTAACCTATGAGTAACGTGCTTCGAACTTATATGTAACTTGTAACGAACTTATCTCCAACGTATACTCACGTATGTAGACATATTTGACGTGTTCCAGACGACCACAAAACTTACTGAATGTGTTTCTAATGTACAGTTATCGTATAATGGCGTACTGGCAGCGTTTAGGGGAATATTTATATTAAAATGGTGTGATGTCAATACGCTGATGTTGATACTGCGATGTCTAGTGCGGTTTTGATTTGAATCGGCGAGCGGCAGACTTTTTATAGGCTACGTCAGGTGATCATCGGCGATACGCTGCCGCGCGCTGTGCATAAAGCCTGGTTTCCTGTCGACGTAAGAAGGCAGATTTACTTACGATTACGTCGTTTTATCGTAAGAAAATGCGATTTGACAGGAAACCGATTACGACTGGTGCGTTGTGAAATCGACGTAACGTAAACTAAAATCGTCGCAAAACAGTTTTGGACAGGAAACCGACGTATTGAATTTTCATGTGATACGTCGATTTTCCACTATTTGACAGGAAACCGCGATTTAGTGACTTTTTGTTGAATGAACTCGCATACGTTGCGTTGCAAACGATTCTTATGAAAAGTTGACTCCAAGTCAACTTTTCATAAGAAACGTAAGCGGAAAGTATGCTGTCTGTATATCTTGCCTATACAAAACAACATTGTCGACGAACTAGAAAGTAAAAAGAAGCATATCCTCCACTTTTTTCAAACACAATGATAGGCATGTAAAATCTTATAGATTTTGTTAGCCCTATACACAGTGGCGGCTCTAGAATGTAGTTTATGGGGGGTTGTCCGACTGGGGAGGGGGCTAATTATTTATGGGTGTAACTATAGCGCGCATCGTTATCCGAGGACCGAAGGCCGGATCCGGGGTATGGGAGGGATTGCTTGACTTCTTGATTGGCTGGGATGGGAAAACTAGGCCTATTTTTTTTTTTTTTTTTTTTTTTTTTTTTTTTTTCTTTGCTCCTTAAAATACTCGATAGTAGGAGCTTTTCTTAGGTCAGTCTGCTGTACGTTAATCTGCACAACAGTCGGCGTCGACAGTGATTTTGTAGACAATGCCTATTGCCAGTTGGAATATTTTCTGTTAATTTCAATAAACAATTTTTTCAAGTGTATTTCATTCTTAATTTTAATTCATGTTTATATTATACAACCCGAATTTTAACATTTAAATCATGTTTTCTGTATAACTGTATATCTGGAGATAAAATCTGTCAGTTCAAAACATAATATAATAAGGTGAAATGAAATAAACAATGTACAATATAGGCCAAATTGATATTTTGAGAACGAAACACTAAAACTGATAACGAATAAGTTAGTAAATCGAGATTTGTAGGCCCTTATTCTGTACTACAGGACTAGACTATTATTTAAATCCAACGGTGAAAATTGTCCTCGAATCTCGCCAGGTCATTTTAATGAGGATACCAGACAGGAAGTGAGAAATGTTAACATATCGCAGTCGCAAAGAAAAATTCAACTTGACGTAACATGCATGTGACGACGTTAGAAGAGGCTTTGCCGTTCGAGCTTGAAAAATTCAACTTATCGTAAGAATCGTAACCGGCTTATTTTGTCTGCGGCCCAGCACGATCAAGACGCGGCTGTTTTTGTCCAACTTCTCGTAACAGTCGTAAGAATCGTAAGAATCGTATGAATCGTAAGAAATTCTGAACTTTACGTCGACAGGAAACCAGGCTTAAGGTAGACTAGCGCTGGGCATAAGTTGTGAACGCCGGCAACACGCTAAGCATTCGTTCGTGTGAGTTTTCTATAAAGATCAAAACGTTCTATATAAGTTACTAATAGTGTACGTTATTTATACGTCCAATACGTTATGAATACGCTATGAATGCGCCCAAAGTTGAAAAAAAGCATCGATAGTTCAGCGTATGCCTGCGTTTTAGAGAAATTTTGATGCGTTTGGCATACGCTGACTAAATCGTCAAGGTGTGACCAAGGTAATTCAACAGAAGAACGCACATCTCCGCTCTCGAACATAGCGCGTGCGTACAGTCCTTTGATCTTTACTGTGGCATCGACAATCCGATACTAGTTGCTAGTACAGCCGTCAATTATTAGTCTATGCGTGCCATTCGTTTTATGGTGTTAGTTTTTATTTTAATTATTGTGGGTACTTCGCAATGTCTGTTACATCTGATTTTTTTTACCGCGAGCTTGTTAAATGCTTCTATAAACTACAATTTTATTTGTGAAAATTGACCAAGAAAATGAAAAGTTATAGCAATTTAAAATTTACGAATTTTATAAAATTTCATGTTCTTATGTAACATTAATCTGTCATTTTGACAATGTTGGCATAAGGTGCCGAAAACAAACATTTGAGTATATACAGAACATTTATTAATTTTTTCTGCGAAGTAAGTCTCATGAACGACAATTCACCACAATTTTGGTAAAATTAATGTTGAAATGAAGAATATAATTTCAGTCTAATTTTAGTGCAAAATATCATTAGGCCTTTGGAATCACCGCACGACGCGCGATTATCATGGCAACTAACACGCGCGTGAGTAATTCGTCACGTACGCTGACAGTTTATGGTCTGGTTGCTATGGTTTTGTGACGTTCAGTGTGTAGGGGACGCACGTGCGCCTAGAGTTATAACCTTTGATGTCCCGAGATGTGCGTCCTTCTATTGAATTGCCTTGGTGTGACAGGGCCAGCAGCAGCAGCAGCAGCAGCAGCAGCAGCAGCAGGAGGAGCAGGAGGAGCAGTAGTAGGAGTAGTAGGAATAGTAGGAGTAGTAGGAGTAGTAGGAGTAGTAGGAGTAGTAGGAGTAGTAGGAGTAGGAGTAGGAGTAGGAGTAGGAGTAGGAGTAGTAGGAGTAGGAGTAGGAGGAGTAGGAGTAGTAGGAGTAGGAGTAGGAGTAGGAGTAGGAGTATGAGTAAGAGTAGTAGGAGTAGTAGGAGTAGTAGGAGTAGGAGTAGTAGGAGTAGGAGTAGTAGGAGTAGGAGTAGTAGGAGTAGGAGTAGTAGGAGTAGGAGTAGTAGGAGTAGGAGTAGTAGGAGTAGGAGTAGTAGGAGTAGGAGTAGTAGGAGTAGGAGTAGTAGGAGTAGGAGTAGTAGGAGTAGGAGTAGTAGGAGTAGGAGTAGTAGGAGTAGGAGTAGTAGGAGTAGGAGTAGTAGGAGTAGGAGTAGTAGGAGTAGGAGTAGTAGGAGTAGGAGTAGTAGGAGTAGGAGTAGTAGGAGTAGGAGTAGTAGGAGTAGGAGTAGTAGGAGTAGGAGTAGTAGGAGTAGGAGTAGTAGGAGTAGGAGTAGTAGGAGTAGGAGTAGTAGGAGTAGGAGTAGTAGGAGTAGGAGTAGTAGGAGTAGGAGTAGTAGGAGTAGGAGTAGTAGGAGTAGGAGTAGTAGGAGTAGGAGTAGTAGGAGTAGGAGTAGTAGGAGTAGGAGTAGTAGGAGTAGGAGTAGTAGGAGTAGGAGTAGTAGGAGTAGGAGTAGTAGGAGTAGGAGTAGTAGGAGTAGGAGTAGTAGGAGTAGGAGTAGGAGTAGTAGGAGTAGGAGTAGGAGTAGTAGGAGTAGGAGTAGGAGTAGTAGGAGTAGGAGTAGGAGAGGCAAGAGATCAACATGACATGAAAAATATCATAATATTATAAACAATTGCAAAACAGGTGATCCCGCGTTCATAAACTTTGTATTGATGAGAAATTAATTTATGAAAATATAATTTTGTTCCTGTAAAAGATATTTCGAGGTCAATCGATGTCGCATTTTTCATCAGTGAGAAAATATCACTGTTAGCCCTCGGTAGTGATCGTCCAATCAGGTTCGCTTACACAATGAAGTTCGGCTGGAGGCGGGCTGCGATATTTTTTTCCGTACGAAACATTTGTATGAAACTTCACTCGGGCCATCTCGGATTGACTCGAGTGCGTACGATACGAGGAACAAGAGCAGACACTTCGCAATGTCGTGACGCTCGAGTTTTACTGTTATTGCTCTTTCTATGTTTATACGTTAGGCCTATGAAATTTCACGGACTTATGTGATGTACGTCACTGTGTAACTAACTGTGACCCTCTTGGATGTTATTAAATGTTAGTATATTATCTACAACAACAACAGCTAGTACCTCCTGTTATAAAGTGTAGATAGGTACAGTTATACCAAAGGCTAGAGAGAAAGAGGATAAACTATAGGCCTAACTACAGGCTGAGGTCTTACCTAGGCCCCTCCTTAAACTAGGCCTAGGGTCATAGGCTGACACAACAGTCACGCTTCACATACTGACATGACTGAAATTTTTTTGGGGAAAAATGAAGCATGAAATGAAAAATAGAGCGCATAAGAGAAAAATTAAATAAATAATATACCATTCCGGCGTTATTGAACTTGTCCAAGCTATCATTGTAATGTAATTAATGTTAAATAATAATAATAATAATAATAATAATAATAATTTCAGCATTAATTACCTTTGGCATAAGCCTTGTAATGAAGAACCTACAGATACTGTACTATTTACTAGGCCTATAAATAATAATCGCCCAAGGGGAATATCTTTTGTGTTATTTCCCCTTAACGTCGTTTTTTTAATTGTCCTCTAATTCCTCCATTGTCTAAGTTCCCCTTAAGGTACAGGTAATAATAATAATTAATTAATCATAATAATAATAATCATTTCAGCATTAATTACCTTGGCCTACTTGTAATGAAGAACCTACAGATACTATTTCAAGGCCTATAAATAATAAACTAGCCAAAGGGGAATATCTTTTGTGTTATTTCCCCTTTGTCTAAGTTCCCCTTAACGTACAGGTAATAATAATAATAATTATTATTATTATTATTATCATTTCGGCATTACATAATAACATGGTCTAGCCTTGTAATCAAGAACCTGCCGATTACTATGCCTAATATTAATAACTAGCTCATTTTACATTCATTTGGTGCTCTGCCATTTTGGCAGGTCTTATGGCATCCAGTATTTTAGAGCTGCCTATTCTCAGCTCTTCTCTTGATTTGAAAATAACTGTCATTCTGTTTCATTTGATCAGTGATGAAGAAAAACGCGCTTTTCCTTACTCTTTGTGCTTTTCCCGGAAAGCGTTTTTAGTAGGCCTACTTGTAAGCCTAGGTAATTATGCAAAACCCAGGCCTAACTAAAAAATTAAAATTGTCATAATATGTAACTCAAGTTAAAAAACACTTTTCATTACTCGTGCAGCTTAATCAAATATTATATGTCATTTTAAACGACCCATTGGTATTAACATGGTAACATCAATGTATTTTTAAAAATCAGACAGCGACGTTCTCTCAGAAGTTGGTTGTTCTGTAGACGTTTATCTGTTGATGACCTTTTGACCTCCTGGATTCCGTTGTCTTATAAACGCTGATACACTGATACACTGAGACGCTGATACACTGAGACGCTGATACACTGGGACGTTGATACGCTGAGACAAAGATGACGTCATTGAAATTCACCGCAAAGTCATACCACTCAGTGCATTATGACTTTGCGGTGAATTTCAATGACGTCATCTTTGTCTCAGCGTATCAACGTCCCAGTGTATCAGCGTCTCAGTGTATCAGCGTCTCAGTGTATCAGCGTTTATAAGACAACGCCTGGATTCTGCAATGAGATTTTCGGGTCGATTCAGCCGAGACGGCCCGAGTGGAGTTTCATGTAAATGTTTCGTAAGGAAAAAAAAATCGCAGGCAGGCTAATAAAAAGGTAATCAAAATACACTCAGCATTTAAATGGTCGCAGTGTGGCTGCAAAATGTCATCTTCCAAGCTAAAAAAAATGCTCTTGTCACAATTTTCTGTTTCTGGAGACATAACACATTTACAGAAACAAAATGGAAAACGTTTTTAAGATGTGCTAAGGTTTGGAGTAAATTAGACGGTAATCAAGGTGGTTTTGTAAGAGCTTATCCTTGTGATGATTTGGGTAGGCCTAAACTAGGGGTCTATGTAGGCCTAAGCCTAGAGGGTATCCCAAATGCCTAAAAATGCCTGCTGCCAAGAGATGCTACCAATATTTTACTGATAGTACAAAACAAAAACGGGCCATAGCTGTTAAAGAGAAAAATAGATGAAACTGCATCCACTGAAGGTATGTTTTTATTTTACTTTATTTTTACTCAAAAACTAACTTAGGCCTAGGCCTAGGCCCACCAACAAACAAAGGAGGATTCCCGCAAGGGAAAAGTTTAGGCCGCCTAGGCCCTATGTGTATGATGGGTAAGAGTTAGCCTGTATGGCCTACATTACTTCGACTAGAGCTTAAGGAAGGATGCCAAACCAGTGGCGGCTCTAGGATTTTCTGGGGGGGGGGGGGCAATGTTGTCCGACAGGGCGACTTGAGCTCGTAGGCTCGAGCTTAGAGAAGGGGTTGAGAGGGGGGTTCCCCTTCCCAAATGAGATCCTTTAAAGAATATCAACCTCTAGATGGCCGAAAATGGCACTCTCATACACAGACATGTGTTGGCTTGGTGTGGGCCTATTTTTATATGTTTTATGGTTTGACTGCCCGACGAGCTCTGTCCGGCGGGGGGGGTCTTGACCTGTCCGGTGGGGGCTTATGGCGACCCCCGCCCCTGCCACCCCGCTGGCACCGCCACTGGGTCAGACATGAAGAGGCATTGCCTAGTACTACCTAGGCCTAGAGTTATAACAGGTTAACTAGTACTTAGGTACTTTTGTTTGCTACAGTACTAATTTATGGTATTAATAATAGTTAGGCCTAGAGTAAATTGTCATTGTGAATATATTTTACTGAGTGTACCTACTACATGACCTATTTATTAACAAATTCCAGAGGGATGCAAAAGCATGGTCAATCAATATTTATCATCACATTAATATAGTTATTATTGTTGTTTTCTTATTGTTATTAATATTGTTATCGTTATTACTATTTATTGCTAATGTGATTTTACTGAGTAGAATGTAACTGAGCACCACATGGCCTACAAGTTTGTTTCAGTCAAGCAAATCAATAATATAATATAAAATATTTAACAATTTATTTTAATAGTCTACATGACTTTAATTTAATAAACGATTAATGAAATGTCTGCAAAGATGAAATTAATTATATACATGATAAATATGTGTATATAATCTATACTTGACAACAATAAAAGTATCCATTAGGCCATGTAAAAAAGAAGTTGTTGATCGACCACTCCCTACTTACAAAAAATCACCGACCAATATTTTTTTTCTTTTTTGATTGCTTTTCTGCCCATAATTCAACTTCGGCTAGGCCTAGGCTTTTTTTGGTAATTATCTTGCCTTTCAATTGTTTGTTCTTATAAATTCCACCTTATTAAATGCTACACTGGAAGATTCGGCGAATTCAGCCACTATTTAAATATGGCCTTGCACTCCATTAGAAATTCAAAGACTTGGCATGTATACAACAAGAAATAAATAAAAACTATATCTGTACTGTGCCAGGGCTGCAGTTTATATTGTAAGCTAATAATAAATACAATTATGTGTGGTACAGTTGTGTGGGTTATTTTAAATGTTTAGTTGGGGGACGTCGATCAATTTTGCTTTGTTGATAAGCAATAAATATTAATGGATGTAGATTGATGATGGTTGATGTATGCAAACATGTGTTCCAGACAGAGGATTGATTAGACTAAGTGCAGTATCTTGTATTTGTATGTGAAGTGTTTGCATTAACAGTGTTGGCAATAACATACAGAGTGTTGTCTACTTTGTAAGTGAAATTGCTTTAGAGATGTAACTATCCATCCAAAAACAAAAGGTTAGCAGTAAATGATGTTGGTGGATTTGTATACCTTTGCAGCTGAACTTGATTGCAGTATGGTCTGTGTAATATTTTAGTACGTGTATCATTGAAATCTTGTTAATGTTGATTATTGTTCTTATGGAAATTGGATGGATGTGGTCATGTTATTTACACTGATTTAACAGATGGAATCGGGAATGTATTCTTGTTAGTAGGGTAGCATTGATAGGTGTGTAATGTACAGCACAATTGTAATACTGTACAATTCTAAGAGAAATTTGCCTTTGCAACAATAAACATGATTTGTTCTTGATGTAATTTTTTAGTTTTTTGAGAGTGGAAAAAAATACTGTAGTTATGAAATTTTTAGATGAATAAAGAGATGCCTGTCCATGTCTAAACTTTATTTTGAAACGTAAGTGTTTTATAGGAATATACTTTAATATAATATAAATTTTTGATGTTATATATAGAAATAAATGAATGTAGGGGATGGAATATATTTAACATGGTCTTGTAATCTCCGATGAGGGCAGTATAAAAAGCCAAAAAGATTTAAAAAAAATAAATGGTACTGTATCTGCCAATGGCCCTTGTGTAGTGTTTACGCTGAATGAAAGGTATTTAAATTGGGAAACCTAAAATAAATGACAAAGTTATGGTAAATAATGAAAAAATTTTAGTATATGGAATCCAAATTTAGCTTAATATTAAAATATTGTGCATTCAGATATTAGTTTTGGAGCCTTGTCTTTGCGGTCATGCTCATAACTAGAGCCAGTTTTTAATATCTCAATTACATAAACAGTGAATAAATTTGGTATATATATATATATATCTACATGTATT